AGGTATCCTGCATAGAGTTCAGCATCTTATTGTCCAGTTCAATTCAACAGATCCTTGGGGAGACTATCTCTGGTTTAAAAGCAGAGCTGGCAGAATATGGTTCTGACCAATTAAAAGCCCCAACATAGCATCAACAACTATTTCCAACATTATGGGGTTGATTGACATGGTATTGAGTGACTGATATGTTAGAAAATGCAAGTTCTTAACCACATCCTGTGACTACTTCATTGACATTTCAATTTTAGTTAATACACAGACAGAACCAGCTTCTATCCACCTTAAAATGGCTATAGGATACTATTCAGCTCTCTTGTGCCTGTTTTCACTTTTGTATTTAGCTGTTTATTGTATTGAAGCATCATTTTTCCGAACTCGGCAGATTTTAGGATAGTCCAAATTGGCTTATAACTTAACAAGGCATATGTCAAGAACATAAAAGGTAAATTATGGAGAACAGACTCAAATCAGCATTAGACATAGCAAAACTATAAAGACATACAGTGGGAATCAAAAGTAATCCTAACAACCTCTTAACAGGAGGTCATGTGCACAGAGTGGGGAGACATCCCAGAGTGGAGCAGCTGGACAAGAGGAGGCTTCTATCCCAACCCTTGAGTCTCCTGGATCCTCACCAAGGGCTATCAGTACAGACACCGAGGAATACATCCCAACTGCCAAGGAAACCACGGGGAATTGAGTGCCTTTTTTTTTTTTTAGATTTCTTCTTTTATTGTATTTTTGACAATCTTTACATAGTTAATTGAGGTAAAAGCTTCAAGGGCAATAGGAAAGTGGGTATGGCTATCATTTCCCATATTGTTTCCTTCATGTTTAAAGGGGGGTATTAAGGGAGAAGGCTCACCCAATTTACCACCCTTCCCGGGTCCCAGATCCGGGTATGCTCCGAGATTCTTGCTCAAGTGATTTTGATAGTTCAACAGTTATAAATCGCTGCCAATCTTGCCACTCCAAGTACAGTGAGGTCTTTGAAGAATCCCCTGATTGACATAGTCCATCATAGAGTCTTCGTTTGCCCAGTATTTCACTGCCCACATACACCTGAGATGGTTGATTGACCTGTTCTGTCTTCTGTCTTTTCTTGGGTAAGGGTTCTGAGTCCAGGATTTCAACTGTGGAGATCGCGAAAGAAACTTTGAGGTGTTCTCAAACCAGATTCTTGTATGTACTAAAATGTACAGGGCCTGGCACAGTCCATCACCCTGATCAGCTGGGGTTGTGATCGCTGGGTTGATTTTGTTTTCAACACCAACTTCCGCTGGAACCAATGAGTGTTGCAGTCAGCCCAGTTCTGCCCAGCACATACTTGGCCCTCGCATAAACCAGTGTGAGCTGCAGCCTAGTTGGAGCAACACACAATAGCCCCCACGAAGCCAGCCCCCATCTGTGTTTGCCAGTATGTGCAGCAGTAGTCCAGTGCACCCTATTCAACCCCAGCCCCGTCCTAGGTTTTGTGCTCTCTCGTGGAATGGTAACCCCAGAGGGAGGAGACCACCATTTCCCTCCCAGGCCTCTCCCATTACTGGATTGTGTACTCTCCCGGTAGTTCTGTGGTTTGACTTGACAGAATTAGGTCCCAGTGCCAGCTTCTGCCAGCTGATGCTGTGCCTAAATCCCAACAACCCTCACCCACTCTAATTTTGTTTGCACCAATAGGAATAATCAGCCCAGCCTGGCTTTTCCCTGATCTAGTCCACATGAGGTGCACTAAGCCCTGCTTAGTCTGGTCTGCCCCCATCTCAGCCCACACTCTCCAGCGGGAGTAGCTGTCCAGCAAAGGAACCACTCCTTATTCCCCTGCCCACTCTGCCCCCTCCCTTCCTGGTTCTCACACATGCTGCTTGGGCTCTGTGGTCACAACCGGGACAGGCAATCTCACCTTGCCATTCTGTATTGCGCACCAGTCTTTGTCACGAGCCAACCAGGCTCGACCCACACTGTTCTGGTGCTTGGATTTGCCAGTGGATGATGTGAACTGATTCAGCCTGGTCTTCCCCCGACCCATGCCAGATGTATGCCAGTGAGAAACTTTCCATGGCCTGTTCTGGGCTGTTTCCTATCATGTTTCTTGCGCTTACCTGCCGGGGCTGTGTCCTGCCAGAGGAGTTGCCCAGGCTCCTCCATCAGGACCTCTCCCCAGGCCAGATTTTTCACATAGCAGGGCACTCAGTTCACCTCCTGTCCTAGCAGGAACAGTGGCTTTTCCTGGCTGGCCTTCAACCCAAACTGGTTCTTGCTGTTGGATATTTCAGCCGAGCCATGACTCACCCATACGCACACAGAGCTCACACATGGCTCAGTAGGGGCTGAGACGTAGCCTAGCCCATCCCACATCTGCTCTGGTCCTCCAGGATACCAGAGGGTGTTGGAATCTGGCCTGGCTCAGTGCATCCAATCCCAGTCCACATTTGTGGAACTGAAGTGCTTTGGAGGCCGAGAACTCTGAGGTCATCCAATCCCATTTGGATCTACTACATGGGTTGGAAGAAGCCCAAATCCTTCCTCACAGGATCCAAGGTCATCAGAACAGCCAGGAGCCCTGAGTGGTCTGCAGAAACAGAACAGTAAACTCCCTTTGGGACTAGGGACGGAGCTTTCTCTGGTCCTTGCTTTGTTCCAACTTTGGATCCCCATGCTCTCTTGCAATGACCATCAGGGTAACCCAGAATCCCCCTCCCAGTAAAAAGAAGCTTTGATTTTCAAAGGCAAAATGCACTTCCTCAGGGAAAGATAAGCTATGTGTGCAGTGTCCAGCATCCTTTGAAGCAAATTGGATAAGAAGTCGTAAAGACCTTTTTGTCATCTTTAGAGCTCCAAGGCCATAGATTAGAACAACGGTGTGATACCTAATCATATTTTCCTTGAAAAGGGGTGGTTGATAGTATGTCAGTATGCTGCTTGGGGTGGGACTACCAGGTGTGGGGTTGTGGGAGGAGAAATGAGCATTTCATTACAAAAGCCAAGATGAAAAAGACCACACCCAGATAAGCAAGTTTTGAGTGATGAAATGCATTTCCAAAATCTGCACCTTTAAATTTTACCCCCCTGGCTTTTTGACCTGCTGTATGTTCAGAGTATTGAGCAGCAATCTTCACATGCCAGCTGAACAGCAACCAAATAGATATTCCATGGAGAAAAATCCCTCTTTATTTTGGATGGACTCTAGGACAAACTGTGAAACGGGACGGCAAGGTAAAGAGAGCAGTCAAGAACGAGTCAAACGACCCATGAACGCGTTCATGCTATGGTCCCGACATCAGAGACGCCTGGTAGCTCAGGAGAATCCTAGAATGCAGAACTCAGACATCAGCAAGCAGCTGGGACACCAGTGGAAAAAGCTTACAGAGGCTGAAAAATGGCCATTCTTCCAGGAGGCACAGAGACTACAGGCTGTACACAAAGAGAAATACCCAGACTATAAGTACAGACCTCGCAGAAAGGTTCAAATCCTTCAGAAGAGCAGCAGTTTCCTACAGGCACAACCCTCTTGCAGTCTGAGCAGCTGTGTATGGATGGGCAAAAGGTTGCATGCTTGCACAAACATGTTTGGCACCACTACAACCACACACTCAGCAATGGAGGATCTTCTAATCCAGTCACAGACAACAAACACAGGCATCTCTTCACTGATGCAACCAGTGCCACAGAAGCTGCAAAAACTGCCAAGACAACCAGGTAAAATTGACTAGTCAAAGCCATGGGAATGGTTCCCCTTTACAAATAACTTCCAGTCCTGTTTCATGCTTTAATATCCCCACTCTCAGTTGAAGGCTTCAGATCTACTGAAATCTCACATTTATGTGTAAACATATCGGACCCATAAACATTAACAGCATTCATAAGCAAATGAATACACCCCAACCATTCTGTATGATTGTTTGATAAACTGCCAACCTTGTTAAGAAGGCATGCTGCTGTTTATTTTAAATACTGCAGCTCACAAACAGATGTGAAACACAAAACTATGCTATAGAACAATGGGTTAAAAAAAAATACAGTGTAACACAGATCTTTCTAGAATGAGCTCATTAACAATGTTTCAGTGGCTTTGCCTGTCTCCATATCATTTAACCCAGAATTAAGTAAGTAATCTATATGTAATGTCTTTGGTGATTTTTCTTGTTTTACCTTCTCCTGACAGAGAAAACAAAACAGCTTCACCATTTAATTTATGCTCCTCACTCTACACAAGTGTGTTCTGCCTTTGCCTTCAACCTTTTACATCTTTACCTTATGAACCCATAATTCATGCTCTTTGCCCCGTCTGCATGGAGGATATTATTTTGCCTGTTTGCCTTTGTTAGTGGGAAGTTCTGTTTCTGTGGCCAAGTTTTTCTAGTTCAAGGATAAAAGCCAAATGTTAACATAAGTTGTTTATTTAGATTGCGGGGACAGAAGTAGGCTTGGGGGTTCACCTCATCATGTCATTACTTTGATGAGATTTTGAAGCTACTCTAAAAAATCAGAGACATGCAATTTGTAGATAAGATAACATCAAGACTGACAGTTTACAATGGAAGAAGTCATGTTTTAAAATAATGTTAAAACTGTCAAACAGTTTCCCAAACTTTTACAAAGCAATGATTAAAGCAACAAAACAGAAAAACATGGGCTAAAACAAGACAGCATGTTTTTGATGCTAAGTTCAAGATTCAAAAACCATAAATTATGATTACACGCAGATTCATCTGAGCTGTTTACCTTGAAAAAGGTACAGATCATCCATTCCCTTTTTGGTACTCATGCAGACCCAACTTTCATCCTAAATTAATTTTTCTTTTCTAAAAGTTCCAAGACAGGGTATCTGTTTGGACAATGTAACTCATGTTTCTTAGGCTTACATTTCTTCTTTCATGCTTGGGTTCTACAAAGCAAATACTAAGGCAAGAGATACCACAAATCCTCCCAGACAGCAAATTCTAGTCAAACTCCCCACCCTCTCCTATTTCATGTTTGCAAGAATCTCCAACATCCTCACTAAACTCCCCATCTCCCTGTGTTTCTTCTCAATGATACTTTATAAACTGACTCCCTACCTTCTTGGACATACATTTCTACTTGTCTCAGCTGTATTCCTTCGGACTCAAGCTCATAGCTCTCCTGCAAGATCCATTGTTGTGGTCCCTTTGTCTTTTTTGATGCTTTCAGACTTGTCACTAAATTATCAAAACCTCAAGTAAATAAAAGTACACAATATTGTGTGAGACTCCTCTGTTCAATGTCATTTTGTAGACATTCAGATTCTTTCCAAAAGTTATGCTATGCCCATGTATACATTTTCGAATGCTTAAATTATGCTGGCCTGTGTATTTTCTCATGTAAAAATGCATTGGGAACATTTCAACATGCACGATCTTTGCGAGTTTTCAGTACTTAAATGAGAGTGAGGGAGCAAGGATGTAAGCTTCACCTCATGATCTTAGAACACTGGAAAACAGGGCAAACGGAGACTCACATGGACTATGTCAACCAGTGGATTCTGCAGGGATTTCTTCGTGCCCGAAATGGTGAGATTGGCAGCAATTCAGAACTGTTGAACTATCAAAACTACTTGAGCAAAAGACCCTCGGAATTGCCCCACATCGGGACCTGGAATGGCTGGGAGACTGGGTGGGGCTTCTCCTCTTCCTCTGCCTTTACCCCAGATACAGAGAAAACTGTGGAAATGATATTCTTACCCAATTTCCTGTAGCCCTTGATCCTTGGTGCTCTAATTAATTAGGTAAAAGATGTCAAAAATAAAATTAACAAGTGAGAAAAAAAAATCATTTTCTTTTTATTGCAAAAATCTGATATACAGAGAGGAAGAGAGACAAAGAGGAAGATCTCGCATCTGATGATTCACTCCCCAGGTGGCTACAACGCTGGAGCTTAGCCGATCTGAAACCAGGAGCCCGGACCCTCTTGGGGTCTCCCATGAGATTGCAGGGTCTCAAGACTTTGAGCCATTCTAGACTGCTTTCCAAGGTCACAAGCAGGGATCTTGATGGGGAGCATTGCTCCAATCAGCAGAGTCAGTAGCATGAATAGGGAGAGGGTCTGGGGATGAAGCACCAATAGGAGACCAGTGATGATGGAAGTCTCTGCAAAGTCTCTCCTTATTGCTCCTTCACCTCTCCTTATATACTCTTCCCCCACATCCTCATTTAGCAGGATATTGGATAGAGATAAGTCCAATTAATCTAGGTGTTTTTAGTCACAATCCCAGTTCCTGTTCCTGCCCATGATAAGGAGCACTTACCTACTCCATAGCCTTTTTGTTTTAAAGCAGACTTGAATGTGCCTGTCTTTGGTTGTGGACTCTCAAGTTATCAGCCTTACCTGTCATCAGGACTCCCTGTAGCATGACTGAGCCCCTGCGTTAGGTTGGTCAGTGCCTGGTCCATCTTACCCATCACTGGCTGCCATCCAATGTGTTGTCTGCTGCAGCTGCACAAACCATACTTGGGGAGGCTGGTAACCATGTTTCACGGCTAGGAGTGTTTTTAGCTCAGTGTCAATGAGCAGACAGCAGTCTCCAGGCTTGGGAAACATTTCGCTCTTGCATAGGTGTTACATACATAAAGACATGATGATGGGGAACAAGAGGCCCTGACCATATCCCACAGCATGTGCCACTCCTCTACCAACAACACAACCTGCTGTCAGCATGTAAACATGCCCACCCACACGTGTTCACCAACACATTTCTGTTATTCCATAACTCAGGCAGTCAGTTCTCAAGCTTATTCATGGTCTCTGCGGTCGCTGTAGGGTGTCCTAGGGTCACTGCTGCTATGGTGTGGCTGCCGACATCAGGACAATGCTGGCTACAATGGCTGATGTTATGCTGAATTCTCTTTTATGCCCTATATGACCAACAAAAGCCTCTCCATCAGTCCCAACTGGCATAGGCAGGATTCCAATCACCCAAATTAGAACAGTGGTATCACCATTGTCATTCCTACAGGTTGTTAAGATGCAACTGACCTCAGTGCAATTTATTTCAGAGACATTTTCTGTATATAAGAGAATAATGGGGATAAGACAGGCAGACTTAGGTCTAAAATTCAGGGAGCTAGGGTTCACCCACATGAGCAAGTCCTCAAAGCCAGAGGAATGATTGAATTAATACTTTTCATAGGAATAGTTGCCTCCCTTAATAAGGAAAAAATGACAGGGCATGCAGTGCATGCCCATACCCTACAAAGCTGCCACTTAGAAAAGGCAGAAAATATTGGGACCTTGGTGATCATGAAGAAAGAAAAGAAAGATAGGGGTGCTTAACAATATACTAATATACTTATTTTAACATATAAAGGCCTGGTATACTTGCTTGTCCTATAGATCTTCCAACTCAAATGCCATCACCATGGCCAGCATCTGAGTTTTCACAAGACTCAGCAGCAGGAGCTTGCTGGACAAGCCTCTCAGAAAACCACCTCAGACCATTTTCATTTCCTGGGAAAACAAACTGATCCTCACCCTCATATGAGGACAGGATCTGGGCCTTGTCACTGACCAGTCAAGGGATCCTTCTACATCACATAACCTTATGCTTCTGAGATGGATTCCAATATTGATCTGCAGCAGATCGTCCTTCAGTGATCCAATATTAGAAAATTTAAGATAAACAATACAAGGTTCAAATGATCTCGGGAGTGCTATACTCCCCCTTTTTGTTTTAGTAAGATAGTCCTTAATAGTATGGTTGGCACATTCCACAATATCTTGTCCTTGAGGCTTATAAGAAATGCCTGTAATTAGTTGCATATGGTGGGAGGCAGCAAAATTACAAAACTTACTGCTAATATAGCAAGGGCCATTATCAGTTTTGATAAATTTGGGAGTTCCCAAGGTGGAAAAACATGCATAGCAATGGGCTAGAGTGTGTCTGACTTGATCCCCTGTCTGAGGAGTAGCTAAAATAAATCCAGAACAAGTATTGATAGTAACATGCACATACTTTAGTGCCCTAAACTCTGGGGTGTGTGTCACGTCCATTTGCCAGACACGATTGGGTAACAGTCCTTGGGGATTTACACCATAATCAGGAACAGGCAAAAACTGAGGGTACACTGTGCACTGCTTCACAATGGTTCTGGCTTGTTCCTTGGTCAGACAAAAGCACAAACGGAGGGTGCTAGAATTCAAGTGAAACCTAGCATGTGCCCTTTGTGCTTCCTCAAGGGCCGAAGCCATCAATTTGGTGGCCAGTATCTGCAGCTGCATTTCCTGATGTCAAGAGCCCAGGCAAGCCTGAATGGGCTCGAATATGAGTCACAAAGAATTTATCTTTGTGGGCCCAAATACAGGCTTGATTTTTTTGCAAATAGAGATGCTGCTGCAGAGTGGGAATCAATCTGATCTAAGTCTCCAGCATGGGCAAGGAATGCAAAACATACCTACTATCAGTATACAAATTAAAGGGCTGCATGGGAAATGTTTGAAAGACTGCAAGAACTATCCCAAATCCTACAACCTGTGCAGAGACAAAAGATGTGGGGATGGTGGTAACCTGGCCATCTACTACAAAAGCTGCCTGACCATTAGACGATCCATCAGCGAAAAGAGTAAAAGCTCTGACAATGTTGGAGAGAGATTACAAGTGAAAAAACAACAGGGTGCAAAATAAAAAAAAAAAAAAAACCTGTACAATGGGGCTCTTGGGATAGTGGTTATCAAATTTAGCATTTAAAGTGCTCAAAGTATTGCCCAGGTCTCTTCCATATTTTGCAACCACAAAAGCTGCTTCTGAGTGTATGGAACGATAATGGTATCTGGGACCT